CATACAGATAAAACATTTTGGTTGTATCTTTTAAAGCAGCCTTCTTTGTTTTCTCCTACAGGAATAATTAGGAACTTGCAAAAGACTGCCTAGCTTTCCTACAAACTAGTGGTCACAGAGTTCCAGTGGTTGCAGGATTGCAGTCTTTTAATAGTGGTGGCCAGGCTTCCCGTGGAACTTGGTCCTTGCTCCCCTGTACTTTGATGACATTGGTCACACCCAGCCCCTGACCTCTATTGCCTTAGATGTTTGCTTCTGAGCTCGTTTCTAGATCCTCAGCTGACTCAGACCTCACCCATCTCTGCTCTTTAGTTTGTCCTGACCTTTCCACTAGGACATAGGAGTAAAATGGGGAGCATGCTTTGAGAGCTCTTTTTATTTTGTGGTGCTTTCTAAACTTGGTTTGTGTGACCCTTGGTTTTCCTCTATAAATCATAGTGGTTTTTAAAAAGCATGATTGCTATTGGACTCCCTCTGCTCGATTATGCCTTATTTTACCCATTTCTGAGCTCCTGGTTCACCTTTCTATCTATGCTGTCACTTTCCTTCTCAGCCTTTGAAGTTTGTCTAAGAACTATAAATTTTGGGGGGTACAGTGAAGAAGTCTCCAGAGAAGTGTTCTGGAGGGTATCAGTGGTGCTGTGGCCCACAGGGCCACTTTAGAGGTGCTGGAGTGGAGTAGGTGCAAACAATGTCAGGAATCAAACTCAGACTCTATGCATGCAAGGCATGAACACTGACCCCTAAAAGCTGTGGTTTGTTGTGTTTTGTTTAGAGGCCACACCCGGCTGTGCACAGGGCTTACTCCTGGCTCTGTGCTCAGGGATCACTGCTGGTGGGCTCAGGGAACTCTGGGGTGCTGGGGTTGAACCCAAGTCTGCTGCATGAAGGCAAGTACCCTACCCTCTGTACTATCTCTCTGGCCCCTAAAATTTATAATTTTAAAAATAGAACTCTGTGGAAACGTCCTCTCAGTTGTCATTTATTAGGAGAAATTACCAGGAACATTGCTCTTTGTGATCTTTCAGAATTTGTAATTGCAATTCAAGGTTATCTATACTGAGAAACAATGCATCTTGAATTCTCAGTCTGACAACCGAAAAGGGGAAGAAAACAAAGCTAGGTCGGCAATTTAGAGCTGATATAAACATATTCTGCTGAAAAAGCCCACGTATGATGCCCGTTTTCCTCCACCCTTTAGAAATTCCTCTTCATGTTAGTTCTAGCCCTCGGCTGGCAGTTCTTTTAGGTGTGTACTTTTGCAGGGAAGTCTCAGCTGCCCCGTCCCAGGGTGCTCCAATCCGCTGTTACCAAAGCCTGAAGTGGCACTGGTGGTTGGAGCTGGCACTGTCCCTCAATGCTTTGTGGGTGGGAATAAATCTGTGGAGTTGTAAGTGCTTTAAGCTTTAAGATCTTGCTGTGCAATCTCCCTGTACAACATTTTGTTTATAGCATGTCACAAATCTCATTAATATTATTGACCTCTTACCACTTTAAAGCTCCTAGGGTAGGTTGTAGAACATAGAATTTGATCTATTTGTCACTAAATAAACTTTTTTAATTTATATCTTTGAATTTTAGTCATAATTACTATATTGGTTAGATCAGTTAAAAAAAAATTCTCATGCCGATGTTTGACAGCAGTGTTTCCATAAAGTAAATAAATGATACTTGATCATTGCTTTTCAGGTGTTTTTCCAGTATTTTTTTCCTCCAAAGTACTTTGAGTAGTGGCTCAAACTGGTAATTATGTCAATACCATTTCATCAGAGTTTGAGCTGTGCCGTTGTGTTACTCTTGGAAGATAGTGACATTTCTTTAGGTATTTGTTAAATAATTAGACCTAAACACTTTTCAAGACCTCTTAGAAGTACAGTTAGACATTCAGAACCTAGGGAAAGATTTTCAGCACCACTTGCAGTGTCAGAATACCTTGTTAAGCAAAGTTAAGTAACTTATAGCTAGGCTGGGTAAGATTTCAAGTTCACTGTACTAGGAAACACTTCTACAGTATTGATAAGAGACTACACATATAATGAAATAAGAAATAATTTATTGGGATTTTGATTAATATCTGACATCATCCAGCATACTATGGTGAAGAATTACTACTGAGAGTCTTTTGGGGGACATAAGTGACCATCCTTCACCCCATAGTTTTTTTTTAAAGAATGTGGGGTTTTTTGCAGTTAGTAGATGAAATCCAAAAGTAACTGTATGAATCATTAGTACTAAGTTTTTTAATTATGGTTAAGTTATCAATAAAAATCTAAGCAGTCTCTTTTCAGTATATACCTTTGATTTATGAGGAAACTAATAATAAAAAAGTAATGAATGATTCAATGGTTCCAAGGTATTTTCTTGTGTTCAAACATTTTCCAGAAAGCAAATATAAATGAAGGTAGTAAAGAAATAAAAATGTTTTTAGGTGAAGCTTGAATGAAGATAGAAAGTCTTAAAATCTCAAGACATTTGAAAGGAAGACTTAGTTATCTCTACTCAGTACTTAAACAACTCTCTCAGTCAGCTTTGCTTTGATGTAACTAAATGTACCTAATGTTTCTTAGTACATTTTAAAAATAAAATAGCCTTTATTTAAAAATAAAATGTGTGCCTGATACAAAGACCTTCTGCAATGGTTCATTATTCGCATGTCCCCTTCCAGAGTGCCAATCAGTATTTCCAATTCCTCACTTATGAAAGGTTATTAAGGCATCTTCATACAACTACTGTGAGGATGAGGTTATTTAAGTACTTATTAATGTACTTCAATCTATAAATAGATTTTAGTGCTGTGTTCTGGAACTGGCTCCCTCCATTCTTAGATAATAGCCAGAGACAACAATGGTGAAATCAGTGCCATCACCAGGCTTCACTTTCATGAGTTGCACTGAAATATAATTCATTCCTCTGTACTTAGAAATAATGAGCAATGTACCTCCTCCCCTCCACTGCTAATTGTTGTCTATGTCTCGTTTCCTTACTATGTGATTAAAGTTTTTCAGACTGTATCATCTCCTCCTTTTTCCTTCATTGTGATACTTCTGTCTTTGTTTCAGACCATATCTTGCCTCTGCTGGGAACACATTCCTGCTCTACATTTCCAGGTCCTTTTAGTTGATTCTATAAGGATCAACCTGAGTTCTGTATCAGAAGCTATCTCCCAGCATACCCATCAAACCCTCACTAATCTATCATTCTCTAAATCTTTTTAAAATTTCATTAAAGAGTTGTGATTTACAAAGTTATTGATAGTTGAGTTCTAGCATGTAATATTTTAACACCAGTCCCACCAACAGTGTCAATTTATCTCCACTAGTGTTTCCATATTCCACTCCTATCATTCTCTAAATCTTACAGCACAGGGGAGTCCATAATGCTGTCTAATGTTGCTTCAATTTCTATACAACTTGTTGTCATTCATCAAGTGCTACAACTGAACTGTGAACATATCCAAGGCCTTCTGTTCTGTGCTGTGATCTTACTGTATCCAGCACTATAGTTCACACTGAACAAGTATGACAGTTAGCCTACAGAAATGCCATCAATATGTCAACACACAGGGATCTTAAAATTTTAACAAACAATCATAATTTTGTAACTTGGCAGATTATTAGAACCTGATGGTGAGAAGCTTCACGGTGGTGATTAAAAACAATAAACATTTTTATCATAGAGCAACTTACATTGATTGGCATCAGCCCTGGGTCAGACATTTAGCTCAAAATGCCATGCATTATCTCATTTAATGCTGACAAAACCCTCCTCTCACTAAAGCATGGGAAAATCAGATGTATGTGCAATTGCTTATATATAATCTATAACATAATAGTAATATATAATATAGGAAATATATGTCTATATTATAAACATAGATGTTGAGGATTAAAAAGTTCAGTATCTCCCCTGCAATAAGCTCATATTGGTATATGAGCCCAAGACAGCTGATTTTAGGATCCATTCCATATTCCAGTACACAAGGAAGAAGAATGTCTCTCAACACTTTTCCCCATACTTTTGACCAGTAAAACCTGAAGAAATAGAGTAGAGAAGATGGTAGGAAACAAGGAAGCTGGTAGGAAACTAGGATTCAATGTATATTAGAAGCCTAAAAAAGCTTTACAACCTTTTTCTTAAATTGGATGGCAGGTCACTTATTTCCCAAATATAAATAAATGATACAAATGTTGTAGATTAAGTGTATTGACTGCATATAGTGTTCATAAAGGACTCTAAATCTCATAAACTGATCTTGACTTCTGTGTTTTATTAACGGTTTTCACTTAATTTGGAAGTATTAAGAGTTGGACTTAAGTGTAGATTTGCTCTCTTAATATTAAAAAGATACTTAGAATGAAGGGAAAGACAATACAATATATTTTTGTCCCTTTTTACTTTGGGCAGTGTTGGAGGAAATATTTAGGCCATACCCAGTAGTTCTTGAGGTCACTCTTGACAGAACTCAAGGTACTATGTTGTACCAAGGATTGAACCAGGGTTAGCAGCATGCACAGCAAAAGCCTTAATCCCATACTATCTCTACAGCCCTATTTGTCTTTGGACCTGGCCTCCAAGGATTAAAAAGTACCTGAAACATTGAAACTCTTTTATCTATAAATGCAATAGGTGCTCAAGTAAAGGAACTGTGGTAAAGACATTGAAAATATTTTTCAATGTTTGTAAGGTAGAAGAAAATATACCTTAAAAAGTCAATTCCCCAATTATTCAAACAATTAGGTTTCATCTGCAGACCTGTGGTTGAAATCCATTGCTCTAAAGACACCATTTAAAATAATTGAGATATTTTAAAAGTAAGTAAAGGCCCTCCCGTTGATCGTCGATTTGCTCGAGCGGGCCCAGTAACGATTTTAAAAGTTAACATATTTTAAAACCAACACACAAAGTCCTTGTGACTTTAACTGTATAGGTTCTGCATTGATTATCATAGACATCTATCTGGGAGGTGCTTTTAATAACTTCAGTTAAGAGTGCCTTAAGTTGTGCTTCCTTTTACAGCACATATCCTAAAATTGGAATGATACAGAGAAGATTAGCATGGGTCTGGCACAAGGATGACATGCAAATTCATAAAGAATTCCATATTTTTGAAGATTGTGTTGAGACCTAATTGTGTCAAGCCCAGCTGCAGATCTAAGAGAATGCTGACCATTAAGAGATGCAAGCATTTTGAGCTGGGAGGAGATAAAAAGAGAGATGGACAAGTGATCCAGTTCTAGGCTTCATCTTTTATTATGAAGACAGAAATCCTATGGAAACAATCAGTATTTTAGGATGGAAATCAAATAGTACCATGAATATACTCCCTGAGAGGAAATTTGCTTGATTTAAAAAAAAAGGAATATCTTAAATGAAAAACCCAGTTTTTGTTTGTTTGTTTGTGCGTTCATTTTTGTGCCTGCTGTAAACTCTTGTGAACAGGATGAAAAGTAGGATGGGGGGGAGGGGGAATACTCTGGACACACATTAATGTATCTACACAAGGCCTTTTTTTAAAATATACAATCCTTTTTTTAAAAACATACTCATTTCAGTATTGTAGAAAGTCACACTGTTTTGTTTTGTTCTGTTTTGTTTTGACTACACCTTGAGGGGCTCAGGATTTATTAATAGCTCTGCACTCTGGCAGACTATATGATATGCCAGGAATTAAACTTAAGTTGACTGTTTGCAAGTTAAGGACCTTATACTATAATTCTGGCCCCTACACTGATTTTTAATTTTTTTTAATTTTTTTTATTTATTTATTTTTTATTAGTGAAACACTGGGCTGGAGCGATAGCACAGCGGGTAGGGCGTCTGCCTTACAAGCGGCCAACATGCCCGACCAGAGTTCGATTCCTCCGCCCCTCTCGGAGAGCCCGGCAAGCTACCGAGAGTATTCGATATGCCAGACACAGTAACAACAAAGTCTCCAATGGAGACGTTACTGGGCCCGCTCGAGCAAATCGACGATCAACGGGAGGGCCTTTACCTTTACCTTACCTAGTGAAACACCATGAGGTACAGTTATAGACTTAAAAGTTTTTGTGCTTGGGTTTCAGTTATACAATGATCAAGTACCCATCCCTCCACCAATGCCCATTTTCCACCACCACGGGTCCCAGTATCCCTCCCACCCCCCTCCCCCCATCCCACCCTGCCTCTGTGGCAGGGCATTCCCTTTTGTTCTCTCTCTCTCCTTTTGGGTTCTGTGGTTTGCAAGAGAGGCATTGAGTGGCAATCATGTTTGGCCTATAGTCTACTTTCAGCATGCTTCTCCCATCCTGGGAAGATCCTCCCAACACCCTTTATTTGGTGCTCCCCTCTCTATCTGAGCTACACTGATTTTTTAAAGTTCCAGAAAATCCCCTCTATCTGCTTCTCAGAACATTCCTGATACAAATCTGAGAAACTATAAAAATTAATTCATTATTTTCTACAAAGTAGAATGAATTAAAAATACCCAGTATTTTTATATAAATAGATAATATATGTACAGCAGCCAAAGTTTCCTAAAAATTTATACATAGGTAGCAGTGTTAAAGCAAAAACATCTGTGATCTCCTAAACTGAACTTTTCTAATATTTTATAACAACTAATTTAGCTTTAGTGGCCACAATTCTAATGAAAGAAGTTGTAGGATAAAAAGGTAGAGCTGAAATGTATATAAACCTTTGATGTCCTTGTAGATCTGATAAACTTCCATCCTTTCCTAAACTTATGCAAAACAGAAAGTAGAAAGGCATATTTCAGAAAACTAAATTATACATAAAGTCATTAAACCTCAACCTTCACTTCTGATTGAGGGATTGCTGTAATAGTCAGTGAGAGCAGAGAGGCAAAATGAAAAAATAAATAAATGAAAGACCTGATCACATTGCACATTCAGTGGAAATGTAACTGCCTACAAGTTTGTTTAAAGCACTTAGGTACATGAAAAATTGCACATAGCTACTGAAAATAAGAAAGGAGCCATGGCACACAGCAACCATGCAAACGCTGTTTCATATATATCTTCAGATGTGATATATGTAAGCTAAGTCATGGGAGGTAAGAAACAGGCTCCCCTTTAATGGTGGTGTCTCAATCTACGTATACTGATTAGCCCCAACTCTCTCATCCACTGAAATGTTCACTCTTATTCCTGACCTGGCTTTCAACCCGAGATACAGTTATATAGCTAGCAAAGGGAATTTACTTCTTGTTCAAAGTGGTTTTGTGACCATCTCCTTTGAAGTCTCAATAGACAACTCTGAGAATGTTTGAAATTGCCTCTTTGCAAGGGTCATATATCCTGGAAAATGTTCTCATCTATAAAGGATGATCTAAATGTGAACATTTGGAAGGACAGTGATGCAATACTGACCTTGCCTGAGTTCACCTTCTACCACTAGGAATGGAAAATGCAAAAGGCAACTTTTTTGCAAGACCTTCAAGGCCCCACATAACAGGAGGAGCTGGAAAAAAGGAAGACCCTTCTCTGACCCTTAATTAACTACCAGGACTTTGCAGATTGCTGCTGGCTTGTCAGCATCCCCATGTACTTCTTAATTAATTCTAGCTGCTGGAGTTTCCCACACTATATCACTACAAAATAAGCTGTATCTAAAGAGTGGGTTAATAGCCATGCTTAAGCCCATGGATCACATTTTCTTTCATTGGACTCCGTGTCTTGAAGGCTATAGTGATGAGGTTTATCTACCTCTGAGTGTTTCTGTTTTAATCAACACATCATAGGCCTGCAGTGTTGAGACCGAGTGCTTCCTTGCTCTCCTGAACCATGGCTTAAGTAAGGATTTAGTGGTGTAGCTAACGCCTTCAAATATGTATATAAGAATACGAATGTTCAGAGAAGCAGCAGCTGTACACCCAGCACTGAATATCCACCTGCACAGGAAAGTGTGTGTCTCCCAGAGAAAGACATTCTCAATTTCCTAAACTGACGGGTGCTTCAGTGACTTATCCCCCTGAAACATTCTACTTTTCAGATACCAAACCTGTGCTTGCCAGTTAGCCTAAATGTTAATGATTTGACTTCACAGGTAGTTACACTGCACATGGCACCATGGACACAAGAGCCATTGGGAAAGAAAATAACATTAGCTTTCAGGATGATACATCACAATTGTTTCCATTGGACATTTGTGCATCCTTAACTTGATTCATCTCTAAATGCAGTAAGGGTATTTATTTTCCATGACAAAATACCTCCAACTACATGGCTTAAATACAGTATTTTATACATTGTTCTAACGACTTATTTTTAAATAAAAACAATTTTTATTTACTCATAGTTCATCCGGCTGGAGCGATAGCAAAGCGGGTAGGGCATTTGCCGTGCACGAAGCCAACATGGCCGACAGGAGTTCGATTCCTCCGCCCCTCTTGGAGAGCCTGGCAAGCTACCGAGAGTATCTCGCCCGCACAGCAGAGCCTGGCAACCTCCCCATGATGTATTCAATATGCCAAACACAGTAACAACAAAGTCTCCAATGGAGACATTACTGGGCCTGCTCAAGCAAATCGATGAACAATGGGAGGACAGTGCAGTGCTACATAGTTCATGACCAAAGTGCCCAAAATATGTTTCCTCTGAGAACTTCCTTTTGGCTTTTGCATGATCACCTTCTTGGTGCCTCTTTATGTGACTGAGCATCTTGACAGGGTCCACATGTATGACCTTCTTTTAATTTACTTTTTTCTCTTGGCCCTGTCTCCAAAAACAGTCACTTTAGAAGTACTGGAAATTAAGGCTTTTACATAGGAATGTGGGGAGCAAGGATACGGTTTGTCTGTATCCTAACACTGAGAAAATCATATTCCTTATCCAAGAAGTCTGAGCAATCTTGCAATTTGAGATGCAGCCAAGGGACTTTCCCTTAAAAAACTGAGCGAGAAAATCCTCTGACAATTTCTGCCCTTCAGCCCCACTGATATGTTCCCTATAAATCACATGCAGAGCTGTGCAGTATGGCAGCTGTAGATGTTTAAATCTAAACTGATTTAAATTTAATTTAAGATTTAGATCCCCTATCACCTTCGTCTTATTGCACGTGTTCAGGTACTACCAGTAGCAGTTCATTAAACATTTCTAAAGCAGTAGCCTTTGTGATGCATAGCACAGATGCAGAACATTTTCATCAAAGAACTGCCATTATCTTTCCTAACTGGAGGGATCCACCTCAGTGACTTTGTAGTCATTATCAAATGTCCTACAGCTACCTCTTTGCACCCAGCTCTCTGCCATGTACATTGAAAGTGGGGACACCGGGGGATCAGAGACATAGTACAGGAGTTAAGGTTCCTGCCTTACATGTTACCACTCTGGTTCGGTCCCCAGCTCTACGTGGTCCCCTGAGCACTGCTAGGAGTGACCCTTGCACAGAGCCAGGAGTAGCCACCAAGCACCTCCAGTTGTGACCAAATCTTCTCCCTGACAAAAGTGAGGACATAGACAATGCCTTCGGATAGCACATAATCTAATTGTGATTTAAAAAATAACAATATGTTAGAATCTGGAAAAAACCTGAGTGCCCGAGAACAGATGACTGGTTGAAGAAACTCTGGCACATTTACACAATGGAGTACTATGTAGCTGTTAGAAAAGACGAAGTCATGAAGTTTACATACAACTGGTACTACATGGAAAGTATCATGTTAAGCGAAATGACTCAGAAAGAAAGGGATAGACATAGAAAGATTGCATTCATCTGGGGAACATAAAGTAACAAAATAGGAAACTAACACCCAAGTATGGCAGAGATTAGTACCAGGAATTTTACTCAATGACCCGGAGGACAACCACACATGTTAGGGGAAGGGGGAGCTCAGAAAGAGAAGGGAACACCAAATAAAGGGTGTTGGGAGGATCTGCCCACGATGGGAGAGCATGCTGAGGGTAGACTGTCGACCAAGCATGATTGCCACTCAATGCCTCTTTTGCAGACCATGGCACTCAAAAGGAGAGAGAGGGAAATACCCTGCCACAGAGGCAGGGTGGGATGGGGGCTGGGGGGGGAGGGGATGCTGGGATCCATGGTGGTGGGAAATGCGCACTGGTGGAGGGATGGGTGCTTGATCATTGTATAATCGAAACCCAAGCACAA